GCACAGATGGAGGATGACCGGTTACTAAGCATCCGAGAGGAAGTGGAGACCCATGGTGTGCCTGATTATGAAATTGGTGAAGAAGGAATCCTAAGGTACAAGAAGAGGATTTGTGTCCCTAATAATGAGGAAATCAAAAGGACTATTCTAGAAGAGGCGCATCGAAGTAATTACACAATACACCCAGGGATAACCAAGATGTACCAAGACCTGAAAAAGAACTACTGGTGGCCAAAAATGAAGAGGGATGTCACAAATTTTGTGCTGAAGTGTCTGACATGTCAAAAGGTCAAGATAGAACATCAGAGACCTCCAGGACTATTAAAGAATCTTGATATTCCCCAATGGAAATGGGATAGTATTTCCATGGATTTCATTACTGGTATGCCAAGAACCCCGGCTGGCTATGATGCGATATGGGTAATTGTAGATAGATTGACTAAGTCAGCGCACTTCCTGCCTATCAAGAGTACTTACTCTTTAGAACGATTGACAAAGCTGTATATAGATGAGATTGTTCGACTTCATGGAGTGCCAGAGTCTATCATTTCAGATAGGGACCCGAGGTTTACATCGAACTTCTGGCAGTCATTACATGAAGCCATGGGCACTAAGCTCAAGTTTAGTACTGCTTATCATCCTCAGACTGATGGACAGACTGAGAGGACGATTCAGACTCTCGAGGACATGTTGAGGGCTGCGCTATAGAGCTAAAGGGTAGTTGGGACACTCACTTGTCATTAGCTGAGTTTGCCTATAACAACAGCTATCACACTAGTATTCAGATGGCACCATATGAAGCTTTGTACGGGAGGAAATGTAGATCTCCACTTTGTTGGACTGAATTAAGTGAAAGAACAATTATTGGCCCAGATTTAGTGGACATCACAACCAGAAAGATTGAGCTGATCAAGCAGAAGTTGTTGATGGCCCAAAGTCGACAGAAGAGTTATGCGATCGTCGGAGGAGACCTTTAGAATTTGAAGTGGGTGATCATGTATTTCTGAAGGTTTCACCGGTCACTGGTGTTGGTAGATCCATCAAAGCCAAGAAGCTTACACCCCGATTTATGGGTCCTTATGAGATTTTAGGAGCGGATTGGACCTGTTGCATATCGAATTGCGCTGCCGCCACATCTTTCCAGTTTACACGACGTGTTCCACGTGTCACAGTTGAAAAAGTATCATCCCGATCCGTCTCATGTTATTGAGCCTGAAGAGGTGGAATTGCGAGATAATTTGACCTATCCAACAGAACCAGAGCGGATTTTGGACGTTAAGGACAAACAATTAAGGAACAAAACTATCCGTCTTGTTAAGGTCTTTTGGAAGGGCATGAGTCCCGGTGATGCTACTTGGGAGACAGAGGAACGGATGCGTTATGAGTACCCTTACCTGTTTTCTTAGTAAGCACTTTGAGTTACTTTTGTTTTTACTTCTTGTGTGTGGTTGTTTGAATTTTGAGGACAAAATTCTTATTAGGCGGGGAGAATTGTAATATCCTATTAAAAAAATTAAAAAAAAAATTAAAAAAAAAAATAGAGTCAACTTTCCACCAAAAGTTGGTGGAAAGTTGAAATGTTACGGTGGAAATTTTGGGAGAGAGTGGAAAATAGGGTAGACGTGTGGAAAAAATGGGATTAGGAAGACTTAGGGGGAGAGAAGGAAGACTTTGGGGAGGAAAAGTAATTGCACGAAAGAAAAATGGTAAAGGGTAGTTAGAAGTTGCAGCATAAAAGGGAGAGGGGATGCAGAAGTTGGGAGAGAACGCGTGAGAGAGAGAGGGGAGGAGAGAAAGAGAGTGAGAGAGAAATAGAAAGAGCGTAGCAGCAGTCCTCGTGAAGGAGAAGGCTAAGCTTTGAAGATATTTTAGGTACATGAAATTATCTCTTTTCATCAAACTTTCTTCATAAATATTTCATATATATTTTATGCTTCCTAATAGTAGTATTATCATAGTGATTAGAGAAAATTTTGAGACTTGTATATGATCTAACTATTGAGTTTTGACAAAAGATGACTATAGAAATTTAGAAGTAAATGAGTTGTTAATTTTAATCGGTTTAGATTTCTCTATTTGCTAGTTTTAGTATTTAAATTAATTTATTTAGTGGAAAATCTGTTATGTATGAGATATACCATATTTTTACCGATTAAATTTAAGTTAAATAATTTATTTGGGTTGTTTGATATATTATTGAGATTTTAATCGGTTTAGTAGTTTTATTTATTGGGTGACTGAAAGTTTTAAAATAATTATTGTAGCTAAAAAGTTTATTATTTATGGAAATATATATATATGGTAGTTATACCATTAAAGTTTTATTATATTATTTAGTTATAAATATTTGAAGTATTATTGAAATTTTTGATAGTTTGATTTTGAGGTTTAAACTTAAAAAGAGTGTTTTTAGAATTTAGAACATAATAATTTTATATTTAGAAATTGTTGAAAATCCTTTTTATTAAGGTAAATAATTTGGAGGTGGTAAATAAATAATTTGGGGTTGTTAGAAATTTTAAGTTGTTTTTAAAATACTTAATAATTTTTGAGTTATGAGAGTTGCAGGAATTTAGAGTAAAAAAAAAATTTAAATAATATAGAGAAGTTTAATTAATTAATTTATTAGTTTATATTAATATGTGGTTATATTAATTGTGTAGATTAATTATTGGTTGAGCAAAGGATTGACCTTGTGGTAATCCTTAGTATTGCTTTGGCGAGAGGTAACCACTTTCCACTTGTTATATGTGCTAATATGTTGTTTGTGAGTATTTTGCTGTTTTTAGAATAATATTTGATATTTGGAACTTGAATAGATATGTTATATCTTTTGAGCTATGAAAATTGTCTTGTGGGATTTTTGGAATTGTGATTGAGAAGTTTGGAAAAGATATATGATTTATATCTTATGGATTATACTGGGAAAATATTGAGACATTTTTGTTATATTGTGAATGGTTGGTTGTTATTTGGATTTTGGATTGAGCGCTATCCTACCACGTGGTAAGGCCGCCATTGGTGCACATTGGTGGGCTTCTTCCTTCGTCCCTAGAGTAAGGGATAGACCTTTGTGGCTTTTTATTCGTCCCCCAAAGTGTGGGATAGGCCTGTAATAAGGGATGGATCTTTGTGACTATTTAATCGTCCCCCAAAGTGTGGGATAGGCCTATAGGTCGGTTTGATCCCCTATAGTGAGGGATAGACTTATGTGGCTTGTGTGTTAGCTCCCGTAATGAGGATTTGGATGATTGAGATTATTTGAATATACATATTTGTATTTTCATTGATATATATATTGAGATTTAATAATTATCCCACTTGACACCTCACGAGCACATGTTAGTATGTATGATGAGTTGGAAAGTTGGTTACTGAGGCGTTTGTCTCACCCCGTGGTTTAACATTTTCAGGCGATAGTTCAGGTGGTGGCCCATCAGGGAAGGCTCCAGAGGCATAGTGTGCTGTTATAGCTTGTATAGCCTCCCTGCTTTTGTTCTATGTGCTGACTTGTTATATATTGCCACATAGGGCTCATCTACTATCATGATGTAAAATAATACTTTTAATTACTACTATCTGGTATGATAGGGCGTGAGGAGGCCCGAGACATTCTAGACTCTACGTGTAACGCTCCTTTGAAAGTGTTGACTTTTGACTAATGAGCTCTATAGTTTATATTAAACTGATTTATCAGTTCGTATGTTGAAAATATAAGTTGGTTTGGGTAATGGTTGAATGATATTTCTGGACTTTGGAAGTCCAAGGCCCAAGGTAACATCGATGTTACTCTTATTATAAGTTTATTTCTTTTAACCATGATAGCGATTTTAAAATTTTAAGTTTTCTTCTTTTCTATCATGGTTAATCATTCAAATAAATTGTTGGATTTAATCTAAAATGGTTTTGAAAGAGCGGTTGTCACAAAACACACGTAGGGTATACCTGAAAAAGAAATTAAAAAAATGAAAACAAAAAAAAGTATAAAATCTTATACGCACTACTACTTTATCAACTGCTGGTCACCCCATCAATTCTCACTCCAAAAAACTAAGCACAATTTTTTTATTAGAAAAAGTAGTAAAAATAATAATAGCTAAGTGCAATTTGTGGGCCCCTGTATCCTTTTTCTTCCTCCTCCTTTTTTTACCTCTTATAATAACTTCAACTCATCACTACCAATCTATCCTAAGCCTTGCGGTTTTCATCCCTAACAACTTTTCCTTTTTACTGTTCTTTTTATGAAAGCTTCCCCTTACTTCATGCATTCCAAACGCATCCCTCAACTTTTCATCTTTCAAAATCTCTGATTCCCACATTTGTATTCGATTTTTCATATTTTATACGAAAGCCGAGGCAAACTTCTACACGAATAAAGTATACTCCTCTAGTCCTATTTATAGGATATTGAGTGAAATTTTTTGTATAGATGTACAATTTTATCCCTTATTTATTATTGTGTTGACTTGGTTTATATGAGATATAATGTATATCAAATAGGGATAAAGTTGGAAAGTCATTGAATTTTAAATGAGAGTTAATGAAGTTTAAGATTTTTCTTAGTCTGTGTGAAATATGCTGGAAGTGTCTTATAAATAGGACCAGAAGAGTATATGCTCATTTAGATTAGCAGTAGAAAAATGATTTTATACTGTATAAGTATATAAGAAAAATTTTTGTCTCATAGTAATAGTTTACGGATCCATATTACTACCTAGTATTATACTCCTCTGGTTCTAAATATAGAATCCATTTTGTAGTATAATTTACATTACAAAATTAGATTAGGACCGGAGGATTATAAGTTAAATTTTAAACAAATTAAATCAAACCAATTAAACTAGGTAGCAGCAGTAGTTGTGAAAGTGTTGGTGCGTGGACAAGTGTGACTGTTGAAAAAGAGGGAAGAACATTAATGCCCACGAGCAACTCAATTTCCTCACGGCGCCGAAAACAAAATTCCTTCTCCTCCTATTCTCATATACTCTCTATACCTGTACTTAGTCTTTGTATGTGCGTCTATGTGTGTATATAAATATGTATCCCTCTCTCCTACCCAATCCCACCACATCAAAAACACAAACACAAGCTAGCAGAACGCTTAGCTTCTTCGCCGGAAACGATGGAGTGCCAGGACTGGCCGGAGCCGGTGATTCGAGTGCAAGCTTTAGCCCAGAGTGGCATAAACAAGATACCAGAACGCTTTGTGAAGCCTGAATCCGTGAGACCCGTTGTTCACAAGAAGCCACCAGTTGATCATCACGATGACATTAACATCCCTTTGATTGATCTGAAGGGCTTGCCGGAGAAGGAGGCGGCGCGGCTGGTGGGAGAGGCGTGCCGGGAATGGGGATTCTTTCAGGTGGTGAATCATGGGGTGAGAGAGGAGCTGATGAGGAAGGCGAGGGAGGTTTGGAGAGAGTTCTTCATGCAGCCATTGGAGGAGAAAGAGAAGTATGCCAATTCTCCGACGACCTATGAAGGATATGGAAGCCGTTTGGGAGTGAAGAAAGGAGCCATACTTGATTGGAGTGACTACTTCTTCCTTCATTACACGCCTCTCTCTCTTCGTAACCAAGCTAAGTGGCCTTCCCTCCCACCTTCCTTGAGGTATCTTTCTTCTTCTTCTTCTTTTACTTTTAGCAGAATTTGACGAATTAGATTCTCCTTACATTCCTATTGTCATCATATTCACTTAGAAAGTTTCAAATCCTGTTTAGAGGCCGCACGATTCCTCCAACAGTAACGATACATATTATAATATTTTCAAGTTGGCCGGCACAACTATTTTATTTTTTTTAATATATCATAGACTGTGTGAGATAAAGTCATAAAAGCTTTTTGTTGCGGAAGAGGATATAGGTATTATTAGGGGAAAAGGTCTGTTTGCTTCTTAAGAAAACAAAGCAATACGTTGTTGGGGTTGAACAAGTTAGGAAAATTCAAGGTGGAACCTAATTGTGAGGTGCTGTGTTTGGTCATTAAAGCTGGAGAAAGAACTGATTAATGGTTGATGGACACAGTAATTGACATGCAAAATGCACTAGGTGGTTAATTTGATTTATAAAAAAGAAACATATTGATGCAGAAGTTAGGTATGAATCCGATTTGATACGAGTTTAATGATATCTGTTGATAAAGAACGAGGTTTATGAGATGATGAAACAACTAGATGTGGTTCACATGCAATATAAAAAGATGAAAACTAAAAAGAAGACCTGTGATGAGTAAAAAAGTGGCTTTGTGGAATGACAAAAATAAAGGGGTAGTGGAATATATTATAAAAGATGAAACTTTTTGTAATGTTGGAATGTTTTTGTGCATCACATGCTTCATGGGTCCATCTATAAGGTACTAAATATATGCAAACACTTCTGCTCCACCTTGTGTTTTCATTTCTGTGGCCACACAACAGTGTTTGATATATCATTATGTGCACTGTGTTATCTTTATACATATCCCAATATCTTTTGTGGAAATTTGAAGAAGAATTAAAAATTCACATATGAGAATTGGTACTGTAGGAAAGTGATAAATGAATATGGGGAGGAAGTGGTGAAGCTGGGAGGGAGAATTCTGAAGCTACTGTCATTGAATTTAGGGTTACAAGAGGATTTTCTAATGAAAGCATTTGGTGGAGAAGAAGGAGTAGGAGCATGCCTTAGGGTAAATTATTATCCAAGTTGTCCACAACCAGACCTCACACTTGGCCTCTCATCTCACTCAGACCCAGGTGGCATGACCATCCTTCTTCCCGACGACCATGTTTCCGGCCTTCAAGTCCGGCGAGCCGATGACTGGATCACCGTCAAACCCGTCCCTGGTGCCTTCATCATCAACATGGGTGACCAAATCCAGGTCCACTCTCTTCTTCTCTCTCTTTCCACAACTTAACTTTCTTGACACAGAATAGCACTTATACACTACACTACTGCAGAAAAGACTTTTAACATCGATCAGAAAAGGGCTTTTAACGTCGGGTTTTATGGTGTGATTATACGTGTATAGGTATTGAGCAATGCAATATTCAAGAGCATAGAGCACAGAGTGATAGTGAACTCAAACAAAGATAGGGTTTCACTGGCATTTTTCTACAATCCAAAGAGTGATTTGCTGATTCAGCCTGCAAAAGAGCTTGTGACTGAGGACAGACCAAGTCTATACCCTCCTATGACTTTTGACGAGTACAGACTTTACATTAGGACAAAGGGACCTTCTGGCAAATCCCAAGTTGAATCTTTGAATAATTCTTCTTCTTCCTCCTCCTCCTCCAAATCACCATAATCTCAAATAATAGTCCAAAGGGAAATTATAAGTTGCATCTAAAGATACAGATCCCGCGGAAGGATATTAAGTTCAATTTTCTTAAAAATCAGAATTTTGATTTTTAAAATTTTGTAACCTAGCTAGTTCTTTTAAAGATCTGTCTCTTGGATGTAACTGTTTCTTTTTCTTTTTTTTTGGAAGGAAAAAAGCCATTTCAATTTGTCATTAATCAGTATCAGATTCAGGAGTGTTCATGTCATACATATGTATATGTGAATTTTCTTTTAATCGATTTGCCTTTTTCCCATTTTTGTTTATTGGGCTCTTTTTGGCAGGCCCCACGACTGTGTGTGTGTGTCTCTATATATATATATAGCTGTATATTGTCTTGTCTGTGAAAGACATACGAGTGCAATTATTGGAGGTTGAAAGGGAAAGAAAAGAGAAAATAATAAAATATAAGTGAGAATCACATGTCAAATTTCAGGTTGTGGGTGTTTCTTATCTTAAAGCTCTGAGACGTTGGTTTGGCCAATTGAAGAAATAATTAATGAAATGTGATAAGGTTGTTTGTATTATTACTTTATACCTTCCTTTTTGGTTTCCCCAAGTGGCCACTGATCATTACTTTAGCATTTTGCCTTCATTTGCCAAAAAGAAGAAAAAGAGAAAGAGAAGGAAAATAAAAAGGGTCCTTAGTTTCCATAAATACAACACAGCACTTGAATAATTATTTTGTACAAAGTTAGAAATTGTTTAAATACGTTAAAGTTTAGGAATGGTATATTAGTGATATAATTATGGCAAATATAAATTCTTTAATAAGAGCTAGTTAACAAATTTAGATAAATAAATTAAACTAAATAAATTATTTAATTCTGAAAAATATGATTTAATCTATTTAAATAAAATATTTTTATATAACATTAAATTAGATGTAAGTTTGTAAGTTAAATAAATTAGTTTAAACAATGATAAATATAATCCAATCAGACTCCAAAGCCTGCCACAAGAGAGGACCTCCAATATGAAGCTAATAATTTTAGAACAGAAGTAAGATAAAAAAGACTGAAATATCATACTTAGGATTAAAATCATCTTTATATAAATAGTTTTTACATTTAGAATGGGAGAATACCATTATGAGCAATTAATGCATTTTAAAAATTTTTACCTACCTTGACCCTCTCTTGCATGCATATTTTATTTTCAATACTTCTTTTAAAATGATCACATTATATACATATAATATTAGATATATATTACTTAATAAAATTCATATCCTTTTATATTATTTTGCATGTAAACTTACTTTTTTTTTTTATCATCCAAATCAGTTTCAGCTTCTCAAATTAACTTTTTATACAAAACTCAATCCAAATATAAATCATATTATACTATCTTACTTTTGTCTAATCTAACTTCTATAAAAGCCAGATTGAAAAAAAAAATTACTTCTATCATCGCTAATCCAAACACATCCATAATAGATATAAGATAAAAACAAGTTTTAATTAAAAAAAATAAAAATAAGAGATAACATTTTCTTTGCAAAACGCTACTTCTTGCCGTTCTTGTTTCTCTTATGCGATAGCACTTAAATTTTTAAGATTAGATGTATGCTACAAAAGTCTATATTTATATAGTACTGGATATTTATGGAAGACATTTTCGATGAAGGAAAAATGTGGCAATAATTAAATTTTGACTTTATTTTGGTGGTGTTAAGTTTTATAACATGTGTAAATGGAAACATGCATATGTATGTACATATATCTAATAAGAGGAAACTTAAAAGGTTATCAAATTTTGAGATAGATAAAGTTAATGAAATTTAAAGATTGTTTTTCTGTTTCAGAAAAAAATATGTTAAAAAACTTTATAAATAGGATGAGAAGAGCATGTGAAAAAGAATGTTTTAGAAACAAATTAAAAAAAAACAAAAAATGTAAATGAAAGGAAAGAGTAGTGGAGGTGGTGCTCCATCGACATCTGCAGTAATGGTTTGTGTTGTAATGCAACAACTTTCCTCTTCTCATCATCAAAAGCATCCCTCCCTGGACCCACTCCCTTCAATGTGACCTACTTTTCTTTTTTCTAGCATGTAGGGAATGTTTAGGTAGAAACAAAACATAATTTTAAAAATATTTTTATGGTATACGAAGTAAATATATAAAGAAATTTGTTTCTATTTGTAAAAAAATGTTTTTAAAAAACACTTTTTCACCAACCCAAATACCTTGTAGTAATTGTCTAACGTAGCTCAGCTGAGTTGGATTTTATATTTTTTTTGTTTGTTATTGAATATGAAATAACATCGTTTTGAATTAAAAAAACTATAATGACATGTTAGCTTTGTGTTTTTATTATAACTTTGTTTTGTTGAACTATGTATTACTTATACATGAATATTTCATTTGCTTTCGAATAATGTCTTTTTATTTAAATATTACTTTTTTGAATGTCATATATGAATAATTTCTTATATACATTTTATTAAAATGATATTATTTTAATTATAATGAAATTGACCGATTTAATAACGGGTTCAATTTAGGAGATAATAAGCACGTTTATGTAGCGAAGCATATGGTCAAGAAAAGAGCTTTTTGTGTAGAAAAGATAAAGAAGATAGGGTTGCATTTCATTGACACATCAAGTCACCCACCATTTGGAGACTAGTGCATTACAGTGTGCACACACACACATATATATATATATATATATATATTTTGCTCCCTGATATTTCTCCCTTCCACTTTCACATAAATTTCTCTCTTTTTCTCAAAATAGAAAAATAATCCATATATATACATACTTTCTAGTATCTTTTTAAATAAATATCTAACAAATATATTCTATTTATTAATATCACATCAAGTGGGTTTTTTTTCCTAAAAATGAAAACATAATTTATACTTAATATAGATATCGCCTGAGAATGATTTTAGAATGATTATTCATTCGTCCTATACCAGGACGTTTTTCTTTTTCCTCATTTTTTTTTAACATCAGAAACATTATCTTTTTTTGCCCTTTGGCAGTCAACAATATTATTATTATTGGCCAAAAAAAAATCAACAGTACTTTATTCGTGGGCATAGTTTGTGTCGGCCATGGAAATGAATCTTCAGGGGGGAAAATTTTTTTTTTTTGGAAATTAATTTGTGTTCTAAATTTAAGACACGTGTCTCAAGGTTATAAGTGGAATACATTCATGTCGCCACATTATGAGGATACTAAAAAAGGAAAGAAAAAACACGTTACTGACGTGCCAAATTTATCAATGAGTTATTACAGATTGAAATATGATTGAGCCATTAGCGAGAATGGATGGCAGAGCCAGATTTATATGCAGTGGATAGCTTTGAATTGATGGCAGCCCATGCTTAAGAGATAATGTTTTTCTTTTTACTTGATGGGATAAGCTTAATTAACGTGGCCACATGTGCTAAATTTATGATTTCTATTCCCCTGAATGGATAACTCATAATAAGTCATAATTGTAGCTGCGGTTTTTAATATAAGAGCTAGTTGATTATTTTGAGTAAATTACAGAAGTTTGTCAAGTTAGTTATTTACAATAAATAGGTAATTCTCTCCTAGAATATTTTTACTGATCATGTATGTTAGTTATAACTATCATTTAATAAAATATTTAATATGTGCAACTATCACAAGAATTATTTTAAAAAAAATGAATAAATATGAGAGACAAAATGAACTGCGGTCTTATATTTAAAATCTAATTAAAAGTTAAACTATTTCTTATAGGGATAATTAATCCGCAAGTCCTTATAGTTTCAACGAATTTTGAATTAGGTCCTTATAGTTTTTTTTCTTTTTATCAGATCCTTATACTTTCACTTGTTTTTAATTAGGTCCTTGTATTTATTTTTCTTTTTATCAAATCCTTATAAGTTCATTTTATTTTAATTAAGTCCCTGAATTTTTTATTCTTTATTTTATGAATTCTAATAGTATTATTATATAAACATAAAATAGTATATATTATTTAATATTAGTTTATAAACAATAATATTCTAAAGATATTGAATTATTATAATGATTTTAAATTTTTTAGCAAAAAAATTAATTGTTCTAAAAAATTTTCCTGAATTAATTAATTCTATTATTTTTTATTACATAATTATTAATTTAATTTACTTATTAATATTTTATATTTCATTATTAATCTATTTAATTAAGCTTATATTTAATTAATAAATAAAAATTAAAACTACATGGACCTGATTAAAAATTTAATGAAATTATAAGGACTTAATTAAAAGAAAAATAAATACAAAGACCTAATTAAAAAAAGGTAAAAGTATAAGGATCTAATAAAAAGAAAAAAAACTATAGGGACCTGATTCAAAATTGGTTGAAACTATAAGGACTTACGGATTAATTAACCCTTTCTTATATTAAAGATCGGAGATAGTATAATAATTGTGCCGTACAGAAATGACAGATGGTTCTTTTCGGAGGTGGAAATTCTGAAAATTTATTATTTTACTGATTCATCAAATCATAAACCAAGGGCATTTTTAACTTTTTTATCTTTTGATGCTAACATGTATGTTAAAAATTTGACTTTCTCGTCAATTTTCACTTCCAATCTCTATGGAGATCTTTGTTTAAATGATAAATTATTGCTCTTTTAAAAATTTGTCTGGTAAATTTTCTAAAGTAGATTTTTTAGGATTTTCTCACTCTTTATTCTCTTCTCTTTTTCATCTTTATTTATGTAAACATATCGCTATTATGTAAACTTTTATTTATCTTTAGACTAATATATTTTATCTTTTTCTTTTTTTTAAAATATAAAAAGATGTCATCAATGGAATCCCCAATTCCCAAACCCTCTCCTATCCAATAGGACCAATGCACCAAAGTCCATACCATGGAAATATAGCATTTCCACATTTTGCCTTTATTTTACCGTGTCCCAAACGCAAGCTAAATTTCAGTGTGATTTATATGTTCCAAGTCATTTTATTTTTTCTCTGGAAAAAAGAAAGAAAAGAAAAAAATCACAAGTCAATTTTCAGTGACCACCGAGCATCCCTTTAAAAAAAGTACAACTAAGACATTTAATTTGAATTTTGAATTGTCCAATTTGGATCTAGATGTTTATGTTTTTTTATTAAAAATCTGACACTAAAAGAATAAAATTATCCATATTTAATCCAACAATTTAAATCAAATATATATTCGCAATCGCATACCACGTGAATCTGAGTATAATTGATTTTTGTTCAAAGAAAACGAGTACAATTATGGTATGGGTTTAACTACAGAAATTATAGACAAAAGCTACATAGTGTCGTTTGGGCCCATTGGGCCACATTTCAGGCGTGATTCCAATCAGGGAAAATTTTTATCAGCATTCCCCCAGTTCCTCTAAAGCTGTGTATAATCGTTTTGGGCCCAAATGGTCATTTTAAAAATGTAGTGTACCTAATTGAAACGGATTAGATGGGGATCGGCCCAATCTATGGACCCAAATCTATTTCACAGCGCTTGACATGATTTTGATTATCATGCTTCATGATTTCAACACAGAAAATTCTACTGGGAAGTAAAATATCAATATATCATAATAATTTTTCTTACATGTTCATATAACATCATGAAAGAGAAAGCTGAGGCATGAATCACAATTGAGTGAGTTTAAGTGTGCATCAGGGGAATTGTATGTATTTGCGTCTATATTCCTATATGGCCTGTATTCTTTTTCATTTTATTTATAAATTACTTTTAACATGTTTCACAAAAAAAATTTAAATATCACTAACTTTATTTGAAATTTAACAATTTTTTAGATCATTTTATTATTTAAATATACATTTTCTAAAAGAATAATAACCTATATAATAATAAATATAGGGTAAAATAGTACAATTACAGTAAAAATTTAATAAGGTAACTTATAAATAAAATAAAAAGATTTTTCCACATTGTAAATAGAACTATAGAGGAGTATTTTGCTTTGTTTCGTATTTATGAGAAAAATATGATTAAATAAATGAATAAATAAAGCATAAAAATTAGCTCCAGGGCATCCCATAAACTCAGTTTCCAAGCAGAGCAAGAGGCTCAAATTAAGATTCAAAAGTTTCCCACTTCAATAGTAAATTCGTAATCCATCCATCACAATAATTAAGTTGCATTTAGAGATTAGGATGTTTAACCTCTACCTGGAATTATCCAATCTTGCCCAAGGAAATAGCCCTCGGACTAACTCATAAAGACACAGGATAAATATTACGTGTGATAAGAAGAAGGTGGAGAAAATAAGCAACCATGCACTCTGTACATTCAAGCAAATTTCAAGTGATTAACAAATTAGAATATAACAAATTCTAATCTATATTATATATCATACACTAAAGTATTATCTGCGTGAAATTAAACATAATCCTTCAGACATGATCCTTTAGACACAGGCACCTTATGCAGGGCCTGGTTTGGGTAAGAGGCCAATATGTGAGCTGTTATTTTGTGGGGATATAGTATCTAGGGCTTGCCCCTCCTCATGCAGGATGGACATTTGTATTGCTTTATGCTCTCAGCCTTGGCAGGGGTAATCTTCACACATTTCCCGTGGAACCACCTCTCACAGACATCGCAGCCAATCCAAAATTCATCTGCATTGTAATTTCCACCACAGCTCCCACAAAGGGTTTCGCTATGCTCATCCTCATCCTCATCATAACCCTCATCTGTGAACTTCGGATTGCTTTTAACTTGCCCATCACTTGATCTCTGCAGATAAATTTATCGTGCATCAAATAAGGAATACATGTAGCTGCATGCCATTGATTTGATTGAAGTATGCTTACACCTTGACTCTCTTTTCAGTAATTTTATTCTCGTGGCACAATGACATAAACCCGACGTGGTTGAGAATAAAGCTTTGTACTATGCAGTCCAATGAAATAATCTCCGGTTTCAATTTTATTGGAGGTTCAAGTGATTACTACAGAGCAAACGTTATATGGCTTGGTTTGGTGCTCAACTACTACTTCCCCAAAGCTGAATCTAAAATTTGGTAACAAAAATTACAACGGATAAATGCATACCGTTTCAGAGTGATGCATGCATAATCGAACCCATGACTTAACAAAGTGAAGCCAACATGCAGATAAATGTGAACTGCATTTTATTTTCAATTTTTTTTCCTCAATAGTAGAACAAAGAAAAGGTACAGATAACTTTTTAAATGTATAACTTAAGTTACCGGTGGTTTTCTTTACCAAACACAAAATAGCTAAAAGATTTTTTTGGGGGGGGGGGGTTAATTAACGAAGTGCCATTGACAAAATTGATTCCATTGTTTTGAGGCAGTTCACAAGAAATATCATACTGAGGCAACCCATCCCAAAGAAACAAAGACGCAGCCATCAACTGTAAAGAAACTACTGACCTTGGTGCTGCCCCGGGACTTGCTTCCACTGTCCACTGTTGGCTTGTCCTTTATGGGCTTTCTCTCAGTCACAACTTCAAAGACAGTGGGAAGATCGTTGATCAAGCTAAATAAGCGCTTCCTGCCATAAAGAATCAAATTCATCATCAACAAAAAGAGCCGAGTGATTTGTAGCAACTCATATGAGGGACAACAGTTAAAACAAGAAAAGAAATCAGAGATAATGCATCTACTTATATCCCTTCCCATTCTGGTAGCTTCTATATAAAGGACAAGTGATTCAATTTTTCCCCTCATAAAAATCCGTATATCAAAACATTTCAAATGATTTCTGCCAGCCAAAAATTGCCAACAGTAATTTTACCCACCAAGTCATACTCAAAACCTTTAGAAAAAAGCAAATGTCCACGGTCGATGTCATGGTGTTTCTTAGTATTGGCATGTAAATTCCAAACTCTTTTCAACAAATTCTGCTCAACATTTCCTGGGGGGTCTCTTTTCAAGTTTTTATTTTTTATTTTTTTAATTTTTTGTTCAAGCTGTTGTTTCCAGAGCTTTTCTTGCCGCATTATATGTGGTTCAGCGTATTAAAACTTGAATGCATAAACCGATCTCGCTTCAGATTAAACCATAAAGCAAATACGGTGAAAGCTGCTTCATTAATGAACATTAAGCATTTATTCATTGTGATATTAATGCCACTTGAGTAACAACTCATATTATTAACCATTGTTTTAACCTCAATCTTGTATGCATTTAAGCATGTCCCTAACAGATACAGAGCACAACAAACGGGAATTATGACCTCATGCACGAACCTGCACAAGATCTAGATGGTACCTTTCATTGCGGTTGAGACGGGCCCCAAGATAAAATGCCACCGAAAGCAGCCATGAATCACTATGAACAGCGACAAGAGAAAGCCAGTCCCTGCGAATCATGCCATCCCTGGCAAAGTTGATTCCAAGAGCTGGCTCAGGAAGCTCCGGGGGGACTTCCTCTGCTGGCAGAGTTACTTCCCAGGTTTCATTTGGATGCCCATAAAGGCACAAATTCTCCTTTTCTTAAATAGATACATACACAACTTTAAACTTAATGAGATGAACATAAAGGATTGGAATGATTAGAAACATTTGGAGTCGACGAAAGTAACAGTAAACTTCAACAAGGTGAGTTGACAGTCACTCGGACATCCAATATTATACATATACCGGAACTTTAATTCAAACAGTAACAAAATAATCAAAATTCTCGTGTAAATCCAGTAAGGTAATCAAACTAAGAAACTTGTCTCACTTCCAGAGTACTGCGAAGTCAAGAGTTTTCACGACAACTATACTGCACAAGAGTCATGCAAGGCTTTGACTTTTGTTTTCCAAGAATTCTCCAGGAAAAAGAAAGTCAACATGAGCTATTCTAACGAGTGCTCATAATTCACATACAAACGGGAAATAGAATCATGAAATTTAGCTACAAATGATGGAAGCAACAAAAATAAAGTGACAAAAAATAAGCCTAATTTTACGTAAATGTCAAATGAAAACCGGATCGAAAACTTCGCGTTACCTGGATCACAGAGCCCGTAAAATTCATCCACATCTGAGAAGGAATAAAGCAAAAAAGAAATGTCAGATGCAACAGGTAAATTAAGAAAAAGTCACATTCAGGAAATAAATCAGAAACAAAAAGTTATTAAGTAAATAATCCGAGAAGAACCTTGAGTCAAAGCGCGAACAACACCGGCTCTTCGAGCACTGTAATCCTTGAAGATTTCCTCCACGGTGCGCGGACTAGAAGCCATTTCCATGAACAGCAACTGAGATCTAAGCGAAAAGGTTCGAATTGAAAACACTAGGAAGATGAAGAAGAGGAAGTGGAGAGAAAAGAAAAGGAGGGCCGTAGAAGAAGGGATCGACGAGATCGAAGGTGACAGAGATGCATGTGATCTGTGAGAAACGGTACAAGGAACAACGAGAGGAAAGAAGAGAGGGAGACAGAGAGGAGAAAAGCAAGGAGAAACGGGCGAGGGTGGGCGTGTGTGTGTGTGTGTGAACAACGCTATTGGCTTCTCTTGTCGTTTTACGGTTTTACCCCCATTCCATTTTCACTCCATAACATAGCGTTGGGTTTTAAATATAAAATTTATTTTATAGTATAAATTATACTATAAAATGAGCTTTATATTTAAAATTGAGGGATAGTACTTATCATTTTTAATTTTGCTACTACCATATCTGTAAAAATAATAAGTATGAATTAAAAAATGAATAAAAATAAATACATATAGGATATATTTTTATTATTTAAATATTTCCTTCCACTTTTACCTTGAAATGTTTTATACAATTTAAATTTCTTCTAAACCATCCAAATTCCTAACTTCACTTGTTCTTGTTATCACTTTCACTTGTAAACTCTCAATATTTTAAATTTCATTTCTTGGAAACGAATTTGTTTTTTTTTTTCCGGAAGAACTTTAGGATCGAATTTATTAATCATGAAATTACCTTTTTCTTTATAAATGACAATTTTTATAAAATAATGGTAAAAAATAGATACGAGATTATGCGCTTTCGTAATTAAGTTTAGATTATTATTTTTTAATTTTTTATAACTAGTTGGCCGTTGTTAATTGGGGAAAGTGTCGGAGGTATTTGTCTTTTTTCTTGTATTTCAATTATAAAATTGGAAGATGATGTTTCTTTAGTTGGATGTTTGAATAAAGTAAACTGACCCAGTCAAAAGCCTTCTCTTTTTCTTCATGGGCCAAAACAAGTCAACGCTTGACCAACGTTCATTTTGTAAGTAGAGGTTTAACAAGTCAACGACGGCTGGATCCATTTTCCCTTTAGTAACAGCTTGAACTGTCTTAGTAACAGCTTGAACTGTAAGGTCCAGCCTACCGCAATGTCAGCATCATATGCTGCACCATGGGTTAAAAGTTACTACCTTCAGATTTAATTTTAATATAAAAGTCAGTTTTAAATTCAATTTAGGAAGTATTTAGATAAAAATCAAACTATAACATATGAAGCAAGTAGATGATAAAAGTTGTCTCAACACTCCTTCTGTTTTAAATATCAGACCTCAAACTACTTTATTTTTCATAAGATGGTACTTGTAATAATTATACATGTTAAAAATTTCATCAAATGATAGTTCTAACTAATACACATAGTTAACAAAAATATTTTAAAAAAGATAACGCCTATTTATTATAAATAACTAACTTAACTAATTTTTTTAAAATTTACTTAAATAAATCAATTAGCTTTTATATTAAAGATAGGAAGTAGTAAAACTTAATTATCCACAGTTTATGACGGTTTCATACAAATCTTATGCACATAACAAATACTTTGACTAATTGATAGCATAAAAAAATATTTAAATGAAAACGAAACTATGATTTTAAAAATGATTTTACGATATACGAAATAAATATATGAAGAAATTTACCTTAATTTACAGAAAAATGCTTTTGAGGAGCATTTTTACAACTTCTCAAACACCCCGTAAGTATGATACTCTCAAGGCAAAAGTTCCTTCTATTCCTCAAATACTATTTTTAATTAAAATATTTTATGTTCATCGCCTTTTTTCTTTTAATATTGTCTTATAACTTGTCTGCTCTTGTCTGAACATAAAATGGAACCTACATTCTCTGATCAGTGGAAAAAGGAAGAAAAAAAGAACAAGAGGTTAGGCATTCCTCGGCATATTTCCCTCCCTCGTACGATAGTGTGAAGAGAATACCAACAGTTTTCTTCCATTTTTCTTCTCCTTTAACTAAACATTTGAAGATCTCGATTCTTTCACATTATTCAAAATTTTTCCATGAAATAAATTTTAGAAAACAAACAAGTATTAAGATTAGAACAAAAACAAAAAGAAAATGTATACATGAAGATTTGAACTCCATGCACAACCATACTGTGTGTCTCCAAAATCATTTTTGTAGAAGGTTCAGTTTATATTGGAACTAAAAGTAGTTAAGGTCAATTGCTAAGAGGAGCTAATATCAAAGAAAGCTCAAGGCTCAGTCAAATTTTTGCGGACAAAGCTCAAGGAAATTACTGAAACTGAATAAAGCTCAGCACTACATCAAACCATTTATAATACCAAAATTAAAAGCAAAACTCACTTAAATTGAAGCTGGCTGAAAAACACAGAGGAAATTAAGAGGACAGCAAGAAAGGTCCTAATCTGGAAGTACAAAGAAATTCAATTCTGGCCAACACTTTCATAGAAACAAGTGGCTGAACAAGATTCTCAAAACTCAAAGAAGACCAGAAACTAAATAAGATATGAGAAGCAATAAGCAACAAAACAAATACCAAACTCCTAATAAACTGCTCTAAAAGATTCAGTTCACCAAATCAAGAATTTCCATTTATAAACGAAAATCAGCAAGCAGCACAATTGCAATCTTACACGATTTGGTTAAAATGGTGGTAGGGAGAGCTACCTCCAGTGTTTATGGAGATGTCAATAATCTCTTAATGCCACTTTTCTGCTCTGATGTAAGCCTGGAGGGGAATTTGATGTTAAACTTGATTCTCAAATTCCCCTTCTTGGAAGGTTCTTTAGGAATGGGCATGCCCTCTCCTTTAACAACTTCTTCGTATGTGGGACTAATGATGGAGCTGATCGATACCGTAAGATTCCTCCCATCCAGTGTTGTCAACTGTGCCGTGTAACCTGTCAGTGCTTCTACCAGAGATACCTTCTGGGTGACAACAAGATCATTGCCATCCCGCTTGAAGACACCATGAGGCTTCTCATCAATAATAAATACAAGGTCTGCAGGTATAACTCCTTTTTGTTCATTTCCCTTCTCAGGAAATGTTATTTTAGTACCTTTCTTCCACCCTGGCTTGATCTCAATTGTAAGAATTTCCTCTACTGTGGTGGGCCTCCTGCGCAAGAAGAAAGATATGGCAGACTAAGTAGTAGAGACACAATTTGAGATACTTTGGTTCCATGGTTTCTAAATTTACCATTCTAATCTTCAGATGAGACAGCAAATTTCATATTTTGGCATGTAGAAACAGATGAAGCCCCAACCTTGAAAGCTGAAGCTTTGTCATGTTTAATGTTATATTGGACACTCATCAAATATAACACTTCAAATTGTATTCAGAGGTGCTAAAGAAATGATTTCGATAAAAAGTATATGCATGAATGAGTAAATATTGATAAACCATTAACCACTCAATTTTTGATAGACTATTCAACCAATAACCCATCAGTTAGGTAGCTAACTTGTATATAAAGTGAATACTAAACTGCACCATAAAGTTGTACCTACTTGACACGGCTTTACATGATTTAGGATCTATGCAAGATAAAAATCCTCACTTTTCCACTGAGTGAGCAGAAGGTTGAAGTAAATGACCTCAAAATGCACTTAAAAAGCAGTCCCCCTCCAACTGCAAGCATCTCATGCAGTTTTAAGACGCAGTAGCAATAGGAATACCAAGAGTAGACACTGCCAGTGGTTTTAATTTAAGCACCTCAGCTGCCGGTTCAGTTAAAAGTTTAGTCTACTGTTATTGCCTGAGATCTCTATAGGTAACAGGATTGAGCCCCTTCAAAACTAAAAATATGTGGGCACTTCAAAAGCATGTAAGCAAAATTACAAAAGCATAAATAAAAATCTTCCCAAAACTAAAACTCGATGGAAAACAATAGTTCCTCTCAAAAAAGAGAAAAAACCAAACAACCACATTGCTCAATCCGCCACATACCAATTTTCTATTAGTGAGAGAAGTTTTCAAATAAAATGGGAACGGAAAACATTATGAAGTTATGATGAATTCACACGGAAAAAATTCCTTTCATATTTTCATTGCCAGTAAAGCATAAACAAATCATCCATCCTTAATCCAGTTTTGCAACTTTTGTAACGTCCATATCTAGCATCCCCCTCCAGTTGTGCAAGTTGGTAACCTCACCATCTAACATCCTCATTACGAAATTACAGAAGACAGAATAATGTGGCTCAATACTTCGTTTCTAGTTTATACAACAGCAGATCCATACAAGACAGAGAATCCAATCTTAGCAATTCAGTTTTTCCACATTAAATAGAGTTCTAAATTAACATAGATTAATTCATCTCAATAATTTCTTTCTCACTCAGCAGACACTGGGTCCTTAGAAGAGAAAGAAAATGCAGCATTAACAACGAAAATAATAAGCTTGTCCAATGCAGCATTTACACTACAGATTTTTTACCCGCAAGTGTAACCCAGAATAAGATTAAATGCCTATTATAACAAACATAGCACTAAAGTAAATATGCAAAAATTAGGTGAATGGTATGATGACAAACTAGCCCATTCCCAGATAAACTTTAGATTCAACTGGGGTGCAAAGCTTTTCGTACAACATAAATAAATCAAATTCATAAGGAACAAATAGAAGTCAGCATCTGTACTTAGAACTTCTTTCATCTGGATTCCCACTAGCCATCAAGATAACACATTCTATTCTGGATCACATTCTGCTGTAAGTTAGAATTACCACCAGAAGACAGGAGGAAGATATGAAACATTTGCCAATAACAGAATCAAGATAAGCACAAAGATGTGATCGAGGGCTGAGGGTAAGTATTTTCTCCTCGGATTTCCTCAGTCGTCCAACTCAAATGGCATGGTATTGTGCTAATAAGTGTGGACATGTGGAGTTCGTCAATCTATGTCTAGATTCAAAAGACCAACCCAGAGCCTATAAAGGCATTCAATAGTCAAAAGTCTCAAGCCAACACAGAATCCACTTTACCTTTGGAAAGTTGATTACTCTTAGCACGTGAGACCACAAATTTTTAGTCAAACTTCAATGGCAAATAAATAAATGAATCTGCCCGTTAAAGCTTCAAATCAAACAGTGAGACAAATAAGCAAATAAACACAACAGATTCATTTGCACAAAGCATCAAACTGTACTTGGTTTTTGGGGTCCAATCACTAGCATATTTCAAGTAAAAATCTCGTGGTGCAATATTTCTCTCCCTTTGTTTAGAAATATAAATAATAATGACGTGTAAGGGGATTAAAGCAGACAGCTCACCCACTGGGATCGGTAACATCCCTCGAAATCTTCATCTTCTTCGTCGTTCCTTTATACAGATCCTCCAGACTGCATGGCAGGTTTCGTTCGATGGGTGCACCTTTCCTTGGCATATTTCCAGAGCCCTCTCCAGCACCACTCCTAAATGAAGTGAATATATCATCGCCGAACATACCACGAGGAAACCCAGAAGCACCAGCTCGACCACCCATATCACCCATTCCACCAAAGGGACTGGAAAACCCAAAGAACTCTGAAAATATATCGTCTGCGCTCCTGGGGTTGAACCGAAACATAGTTGGACCGCCATCAGGACCACCTGAAAATCCGGAACCCGGGGGTGGCACCTGTCCCTTCAATCCCTCCTCACCGTATTGGTCATATACTGCTCGCTTTTGTGGATCACTCAGAACCTGTTTAAAATTCAAAACCCAAGAATTCATACAGACCATACGGTTTCAATTTCCTGAGAAAAGTAGGAACTTCGAGGGATCAAATTTGAGATACTTGAATAGATTTCGAAATTTCCTAATTTAAACAAAATTCCCAATACATTGAGATTGAATTGAGAAAGAGAAGAATGGAATGATAGAAACATACATCGTAAGCCTCGGAGATTTGCTTGAATTTAGCTTCAGCCTCTTTCTTGCTGTTAGGGTTCTTATCAGGGTGCCACTTCATGGCAAGCTTCCGATAGGCTTTCTTGAGATCATCATCTTTGGCATTTCGGTCTACCTGAAGAATCTTGTAGTAGTCGACGCCCATTGCCTCCTCTTTCACTCACTCTCCGTATCTCTGCGTGTCGTGGCCGGAGTGTGTTCCTACTCACCGGTCCGAGGAATAGAAGGCGAAGGACCTCATCGACAGCAAGGTATCAAAATCTGGGCTCTACTGATACATAATAAAGCTATCTCATTGCTCGGCCCAACTTCAAAAATTAAAATTAAAATATCAAACAACATTGAATGTGCTTTTATCATGATTGTTTGATTGTTGACTTCTTGTTATTTATGCTTTTATTATTAAATTAGTTTTTTTTGGGCCAAATATTATTAAATTAGTTCAAAGAGGATAATAAGTAATAACAACGTTTTTCTGGCCATCGGATAATAACAATCTTTTTAGTTTTTAATAATTTCAGTTTTGAAAATGGATTATTGAAGAGGGAACACCATTACTTGATGATGAAATTTTTTATTCCCTTCAGTTATAAACATAGCATTGTCTTAATTAATTTATAAAATCTAAAAATGTAGCTAAGTTTATTATTTATAATCAATATATAGAGAATATGTACTTTTTCAAAATACTCAAGGAAAAAAATTAGCATAGGAAATAAGAGAGTATAAGACATTATATTTAGAATTAAGCAAAAATGATCAAATAAATCTTATATTTATAATCAAACCGGATATGTCTTCAATAAAACAGAGTCATCTGGCGGGAAAAAAATTGAGTCAAAGCAAAAAGCCAAAAATTTTTAAATGTTAGCATGAGAAGATGGAGCAAGAATAAACTGGTGATTTACTTACAACGATAATTATTAATACGAAGTAAATTAACAATAGGAATTATAAATACCTTAACTACACCTTAACAAGAGAAATGGTGAATTCAGCCCCAAAAAACGAAAAAACAAGAGAATAGGTGAAAGTTCTCAATAATTTACGAAAATCATAAATTGAAATTAATTGTAAATCAAGTTTTTTTGTGGTTTTTGGTGAAATTTTTTTTCCCGCGTTGATATTTATATGCTCTTCCCCTTTTTTAGATATAAAGGCAATTTTTACTTGTTCTTCCTTATTCATACTATTTAATAAATCTTACGGTCACTAGTCTCAACACATTAGGTGTAGGATTCTTTTGTTCTTTTTTTGCTTTTAGACTCTATTAATGTTTTCTTCTGCACGGTTTTAACCGTGGCTCTGTATTCAGAACAAATAAATAAAATACAAAGAGCCATATTTATGGGAGAATGACAAGTCTAGAAGCTTGAACCAGTGATAGTTAGACCTAGGAAAATATTTTCTGAAAAAACAAGTTGCAAATATTGATTCTAACAATTGCAAAAGAATTACATTTGAAACTTACATGTCTTGTTCACAATTAAGACTTCTAAATTTGCAATTTGATGGAGGCTCAACCATCATTAATTCACTACATAATTGTCATTCTCCCCATATTTTTCAAGGGCCAGACTGTATATTTACTCCCAAACAGAAAACTTGTACAATCAACATGTCATTCCTTCACATTTCCTCAACAAATGGTCATTTTCATTAACTACCATGAGCTGATAAGGAGGACAAAAACATATGATGACATATATAGCCACACATTAATTGATCTGTGTGGTTCAGCTCTGCACAATTAGTTAGCCTCACGCTGATAATGCTCAGACGGTAAAAATCTTCCTTACTTTCTTGGTCTTCCTACGACAAACAGGGCAAGTCCCATCTGCTTCTGCTATCCTGTAAACATAGATCGGTCATTTCATTTACGACCCACAAGATTCTCCACCAGCTAACTATGAGTACTTTAGTTTCCCATTTATTTGAAATTATATATCTTCACAGACACACGCACAGACACCAAGATGTGTTGGGGCAGACCGAAGAGTGATTCTTTTTTTCTTTGTCCACCAGAAGGGTTGGACTATATTTCACATTTTGTTTTGCTCTCATCATTTGAACTACCCCCAAATGACTTATAATTAGAACTAATTTTAAGCAAGACAATGAGAGGAGAAAATCATCATCATTCTTAGGTCACAAATCAAAAGTTTGGATTAATGCAGAAGTCATCTGACATGTGTAGTAAACGGCTTATTTTAATTTTTGTACTAATATCAACTATTGATTTGCGACTAAGATGGTTATTTCTTCATCTCAACTCACTTAAAATCACTCCTCACACTGGAGTGATACATAGAAGAATCAATCTATTTAATGTTATCTGGAATATATGTTGAATGTGCATGAATAGAAGATAGTCTACTCAACAGGATTGTTAATACATAGATTGTCGATGTGTTTGTTGTCGTGTTAAAAACTTGTTTCCTGCAACTTCTGCGGAACGTACATATGTGCCTCATCAAACATGAAAAGAAGCACACTATATTGAAGAGCAAAAGTTTATGAAAATTTCTATGCATGTTAAAAGCCATTTTTTTAAGGAAAAGGCAACCCCATTTATGAGAACTTATGCTTATCGTTAGCTCAGGTGGTTGTTGAATGGTGGGGATTAAAGGAAGGACATCCCAATAAATCGGGGGAGAACAGCCCTTCACTGGGCCCCCCCCCCCCAAAAAAAAAAAATCTTTTACTACTTTTACCAAACTTGCTTTAGAGACGACTTGACAGTTTTAGCCGGGAAGGCGTTCCCTATGCAGCCTAGATATCACAATATGCAATCTCGCAAGAACGGTAATTTCATCTCTGTTCCCTTTCTTCACGTAAGTTACGTTACTAAGAAAATGTGGAATTTATGTGATGTAACTCAGATGAGTAAGTGGAAATTACTTACCTGTTTCCACATTCAAAACAAGCAACACAGTGTCCACATGGAAGGAAGAAGCAGTCCCTTGGGGCATCAAAGCAAATAGCACAAAGACGCCGGGTATTATTACTGGTTTCACCTTCACCTAAAGACTTTCCATCAACGGAACCTACTGTAAGAAAATCAAGATCCTCCTCATCACGTGACATGGATTCATAAGATGAACCCCAACTTGAAAGATCGTCATCTTTTTGAGAAAGCAAAGGTGCTCTCTGAGTTGCTGTTTCCCCAGCTTGAACTCTTGCCCTGTTTACAAGGGCTTGCTGGAAATTCTCTATTAAGGTGAAGCTCAAATACATCAACAAAGTCATTCCGCCTGTGGTGGAAAAAAAAGAATTAGTAACGCATAAATTTGGTCAGGTCTTCAAGTAGTGAATAGGGGACTGAATATGTGAATGAAACGCATACCAATGCCAATAATGTAAGAGGTCCATCTTGGTCCAAAGGACAATCTGACACGCCACTCATCCCTTGAAGTGTTCTAAACCAAAGAAAAGAAATCATGAAACAGTCTGATGCAGAGTGAGAAGACAAAGCTGTAAGTTTTTAATTATGTTAAAATGTAATTCTTTGGAATAATTTAGGGTCTACCTCAAGTAGTAGGTATGTCAATGGGATACTTGGGCCAAGGTATATCTAATCCCACGGTAGAAGGATTAGATTTCTAGAATTTGTATGTGACGTTCACAAAGATTTCTTGTTTGAATTATCTGTTTGTCTATAATCAATCTCAAGAAGTCACCTCTTTCTCATGATATATTAAAGAAATTGAAACCTATAGTCAACTGATTTGATAACTTGAACTAGCTAGCCGTTTGCAATATTATGAAGAAATAAACTCCCAAAACATGAGTACAAGCTTTCCAAACATACTTCATACGTGAGAATGGCTGTATTTATTCTATTTGCAGTGACTATATGTCAAAAGTAATCGTACCTGTTGTGAATCAGAAGTTAAAATAGCCGCATTCCCCTCAGGAAAGTAGATATTAACACGACAAGAATTATTTGTCAAAGCACATTTATAGTAAGCTTTGGTTGTATTGTACAAGGAGGATCTTATTCTGATGCTCAATTTGACCTATCAATGATAAGAGTGATTCAAGTAAATAGTGATGAACCGGAATGAGTACAGAATTACCAATACAAATCGGTCAAAATCGCAATCAATAAACTTTATCCAACTACTTTAAGAAGAGAAGTTCCTAGGCATTCTTAGTGAGTCATATCGTTTATATCCTCTTCGATTTTCTTTTTTTTTTTTGGGGGGGGGGGGCATATATATATATATATATATATATATATATATAGGTCTCACATTCTCTTACCTCTACTCCGTTGTCACGTAAATGTTATGTGGATCAACATTCTATTAGTCATCGTTGCGCTATTACATAAATGAAATGTTGAGAATTTTTACATGATTTGGCTCCATTAGACTAGTTGATCTATCTATGAATGCCATGGTAAAATGAGCGTACGTTTGTCTAATGTGAAAGGAAAATGTCATCTAGGGGGGGGGGGGGGGAAGCACTTTTATAGGCTCATTATCAACGAAGCTAACCCTCTCAATCATTCCTCAGATTCTATCAAGTGAAGCAACCTGAAGAGAAAATCAGAGCTTTGCAGAAATACCTCCACTTCCTCATCCAAATTTCTTGCTATCACGTGATAGCTTGATGAAAAGAATATGTCTTGTGTAATCATGCCCGTTCCTGTAATGAAACAGTAATTGACATAAATATTAAATACATATTTAAATATAGTGCAATTTCCTGTCACTGTTACCATGGACTTCGTTCCATGAGAGAGTGCTCCCATATGTTAGGTCATCAAGCCACTGGGTCCCATCACCCCCTGCAAGAAAGGTCATTGGAATGTCATGCTCATTGAATTTGTGCTTTCAATTATTTGGGATAAATGAAATAATATTAACGCGTGAGTATACAATTCTAGATCAAAGTCACACAAGGGAGTAATGCCTTAAATGCAAAGGTCTTGATGAACACAGGGTGATGTCATAATTCATATATGACTTTGTCCTGAGAAGAAGTGAAGCCCGAATGAAGTAGAAAGATTTCAGCTAACAAAGTTCAAAAGGAAATCCTATCTGCAAATGCTCATTGGATTTGCTTGAAGCAATGCTCATTCAAATGGAATAGCTGACTATGAATTTATGATAAAGGTTTTTTTTTTATTTTAATGCAAATTGGTCCTTCTGACAGGTACAAACTTTCTAGCAATTTTTCAGTTAGTTGTGTTGAGAAAGCAATTATGTTATTGATAAGCATTGTCATGATAAAGCAAAGAAAAACCACACAACAATCTCTTATCAAAGGCCTACCTTCAATTATTAATAGATAAATAGAGGAGCTCTCAGAGCTCAGGTGATATGAAATATTCACTTGAGATCCTTTATTCAGGTAATATTTCCATTCCTGGAGAAAATAAGAGAGTATAAGCTTAACAGCAAATATATGAGGGATCAATAATAAACTTCAGCATCTAAAATCTTAAACACTCCCTTCACTGTTTTCTGACAACTAAAATCAGAACCTTAGTATCATGTTGTGAGAATGAGAGGGTGACAGAGACAACAAACGAGATTACAAGAGAACGAAAACATACTTGCCTTGCTTGTAAAAGATGAAATGGATGCATTATAACTTTCTTCCCAGGTGGTGACAACATCAAGAGGTGGAGATCCGTATGTACCATAGAGCATAATTCCTGACTCTGACCCAACCAAGTCTTCCACCTAACGCAAACAAATCCATATTACTTACCTAGATACCACTAGAAATAAAAGAAGGGTAATTTAATTTCAGAAATTATGGTTTCGTACAAGATCAATCTGCTTCTATATTTAAAATTTGGCATTCAATCCCACCGTGGTTTGTCCATTCACCCCTCAACCATCTAGCAGTTTCTTGCATCCACGTTTTATCGAAAGTAATCATATGAATATTAAAACAATGAACAACGTAATAGTTAAGTATCTGTTTCCCTTCCCTTGTACTTGAATATCTTCAGAATGCTATTTCTGGGATCAAGCAAATAATTTCAATTCCAAAATGATCTATCCTGCTCGAACTTTAACCCAAATCACTATAGAGGGTTGGGGGGGGGCCACTGGGGAAAAACTACCAAATTCCCAGAGAATAAGAAGCAAGGAAAGGAAATATTAGTAAGTAGTAACCAGTGATTGACCTTCATATATTGGACGAATAGAGGGCTGGGTCGGAGAAGAATGGAAGAATGGGGGCTAACCAGTAGGGTCATAGGCCCATAAACTCCCAGAATGATAGTCAGGGAAACTGTAAAAATAAAGCGTAAATTCAGCATTAAGCTGAGAAGCTCACAAAGAATACATGGAAATTGTAGATTCTTCAAGCATAATTGAAACCAATTGGAATGGTCAGTACCGAATAACCAAAAGGCCAAGAGTACCACAACACAAGGCCAGGCATCATCCCTGGCAAGCCAAGGCGCAATGGCGAAATCCCAATTGCTTGCTTCAAAGTTGAGCAGCATACGCCGGGGTTGTGCGTCGGACTCAGGCGACTGCAATGGAGGAGGGCCGATACTGTGTTCCTCTTGTCGGACTTGTGAGGTGCTCGTAGACGACGAAGCAACAGCGGAAGAAGAAGAAGAAGAAGGAATCGCAGCAGGAGAATGCTGTGGATCTTGCATTCTGGAAATGTAAAACGAAGAATAGTAAAAGACCGGTGGCGGGAAAGAATGTCCATGGGGATGGAACTCATGGAAGTGAGCATAGGGTTGAGCTTGAGCGGTGGGTCGTTGTGTTGGTGAGAATGGTAGTTGGGAAGAGAAACTGGCAGTTATGTGTACGGACGGTGCTCGCTGCGCTGAGCTGATCAGCAGAGAAGAGAAGAAAAACTAGCCGTGCATTATCAGTATCTCCGAAGAATCAACAAATCAATTTCAAAATTCTCTTCATTTGTTGAAAAATTCCCCACTTCCATCCAATAATCCATCAAATCTATAGTAAATCACGAGTAATGATGAGATTCAAATCTATCTTGACTGTGTTCAATCAAGAAACACATCGACCAGTCCCGGATTACGAGAAAACAACAATATATGATTAACTAAGAAAGGTAATAATACTTTTGACATCTCAAAAATTTAAAATAGGGATCATGGTTCGTTTTTAACGTTTAAGAGGAAAACCAAGCGACCAAAATGCCTTTGTTCAATGTTCACGTACAAGTTGAAAACTAACTGAAAGAGAAAAAACTAGAAGTTATTTGCGCTGAAAAGAAATTTATTGATCTCAAAAAGGTTTGGGTCTACTTCAACTAGCATCATCTAGAAGGATATTTCTAGTCTACTATAAATGATTTTTGTTTTTTTAGTATTACAGTTCGTACTCCCTGGAGTTAAACGTATTTTTTTTGTAAGTTTTCTATTTTTAGTTATTGCCCTTTTACCCGTTTGTATTATAAAACTGTTGCCCTTGTTGTCTTTCATAAATACACAATTTGGTCCCATAAAAAACCAAATGCTCATTTTATCCTATTTATAAATTATTTTTAATATGTTTCACATATACTAAGGAAACATTAACCTTCATGTACTCTCATTTAAAATTGTTAACTTTCTAATTTTATTCTTATTTAATATATGTTATATTTCATGTAAACAAAATCAACACAATAATAAAAAATGGGTAAAATTATATATTCATATAAAAAATTTCTCAATATCCTATAAGTAGGACTAAAAAAACTTCTCTATGTCTTATAAATATGACCAAAGGAGTAAATAAATGCACACAAAAGTTGAAAACGTTCGAATCATTTTCAGTTAATATATTTACATATGAGTTAGAGATCTAAGAAAGTTAAGTTGGAAACAATATAAACCGAAAGGGGCATTAAATTAATTTTCAACACAACTTTTAAAATTTTAAACTTAACTTTGGAGATTTTTTTTAGCTCGTATGCTTTTTTTTAAACTTGTATAGCTGTGTGTGAATAGGGGCCTTTTGATCGATGCCTATAAAAAAGTAAATTTTGTAAATTAATTTTTTATTAAATGTCAATAAAAGATGAAGGTCTTGTTGGCAAAAAAATAAATAAATAAAAGATGAATTTCTTAATTGGGATTTTAAAAATTGGAATCTTAAAATGCTACTACCTACAGTCCTTAATATAAAAACTAATTGACTAATTTAAGTAAATTAAGAAAACTAGTTAAGTTAGTTATTTATAATAAATAGGTGTTATCTTTCTTAAAATATCATTGTTAATTAAGTATATTGGCTAGAACTATTACTATTATAAGGATTATATTAAAATAAATAAATAAAATATATTAATATCTTATATTTAGAATCAAAATAAAAATTAAACTAAGGATGACAGGTAATATTATTCTTTTCCTTTGGTTTCGAGGTGTCCTTTCCCATTAGGTTACCTTACCTCTCTGAAATGGGCCTGATGCTGCATATGGCTTATTGGGTCGTTGATGTGCTTCCTAAAATTTTCATGGTGGGCTACCTCTTGTGTTTTCAGTGTTCTTTGGGCTGGAATTGTTTTTGTCGAAGAAAAAAATAAATTCTTGTTAAAAAATGCGTTAACATTTAATATTTAATAATGTCTCAAATTAGATTATCTCGAATAGGTTTTGGCATTTATTTTTTTTTTTAAACACACATACACATTTTATCCCCTTTTGAAATAAAATGGAAAAATGCACTCCTCCACTTCTTTTTGTAAATACTCAATAACAATTTTACTTAAATTAATAAAATTAGTTAAAATTGATTATTTTTGTGAAATATCAAAATTGTCCTCGATAAATATTTATTTATGACTTAAATGTATATTTATTTTCTGTCTTATTATTTAAGTGAGTCTTAAGTTGTTAATAAAGTACATTTTAAATAATTTTTTTAATCAAAACACTTCGATTATGATCTAGGCTGGGAATTATGTTCATTTTTAAAATGAAAAATATTGTATGATTTACCTGAATGAATAATGAATATTGAGATTTAAATGAAATTTGCATTTGGTGAGAAAGGAGAATGTGATGGAAAATTTTCAACATCAAAGAAGAGAAGGGGGTTGTTGGGGGGATTGAGATGGCATTATATGGCTTGTCTTATGCCTTAATAATGCTTGACCCCAATTAACGTTAACCTTAACAAATCAATAACAACTAATCAGAGATTACAATCAACAAATCTGATATTGGGAGGCTTAGGTTTTTGGCATCTTCCCAGATGCTAACAACTTAGGTTGCTTCTCAAAGCAACCCACTCATACAGTGACCTGGTGCGATTGAAATTACTTTTAAATTCATTTTATATAAGTTGAAACAAAACTTTTCTTATATACTTACCTCGCATTTTGTAAAGCACGATAAAAAGTTTGTTTATAAATCGTTATAAATGGACCCAATATTTTCTCCCTATATACCCTAATTTTTAGTTTGGATGGAAAGAAAATTAGAGGAAAAAAAATATTAGAACGGTAAAAAAAATGCTATATTTGATTTTTTTTTCATTAGTATTCTTTTCCTTATTTTTCTTTCATTTTCCCCTCAATCCAACTTTAGTTGAATAAAAAAATTAGATAACTAATTTATAAATATTAAAGAAATTAATTTAGTCAGTTATTTATTTATGAAAAAACTATTTATTGATTCCTTAAGATATGCTCTTTAATTATTACCCTCATTGATAAAAAGAAATCCTTTTAATTCATGCAATTAATAAGAATAATTTACCAAAAAAACTATAAATTTAAAAAATAAAATAAATTGAAGTATTATATTTAAAATTAAAATAAATCCTGAACGAGTACATATGTATATGCACACCGTGTAGCCAAAAATATTTGGTTAGCTTTGTAAATTTGTGTGTTGGTGACAGCACTTCAACTTGGTCCACCCTTTCCTGCTATGGCACCACCTTGTTGCCATCCTTCATCTTTAAGCCATCTGTTTATGACCTTTGGCATCGGACACTGTGAAAATGACGCTTTAAGCTCTTTTCTTCGTTTGGATATTTATGCCGCTCTCTCTGGATGATACTCCAACATGATTAACTTACTGCTTGTTTGGAGTGCGGTAGAATCCCTAAAGGTTCCGTTCGGGAAAATGAGAGGAAAGGAGTGGGAAAATTTTTTTAATAAGCTTGGTTTTAAAAAATTAAAAAAATATGATTAAACTTTTTTAATTAATTATTATTATTTTATCTTACTTTTTTTAATTAAAATTTCAAAACCTCATTTTTTTAATTTTAATTTTATTTAATTTTCATTAAAAAGTGGGAAATAAAGGAGAGATACGAAAAAGATTGATAAAGATAGGGAGAGAGAAAAACTTTAATAAGAACAAAATTGAACAATTTTGTTAATGTAATACATTTTTTGAGTAAATAGTTGACAGTACAAAAAAATGGTTGATTGTTTAATTCATAATTTTCATATGTAAAACAAATTTGATTGGAAATGACTTACTCTTCGGGTCATTAATATACTCCTCCGGTTCTTAATATAAGACCCATTTAACTAATTTGATTAGATTAAGAAAGTTAGGTAAGTTAATTAATTATAAGAAAAGTAACACATTTTTCCTAAAATACTATAATCATTTTTTTTAATACCTCTCTCCCCTTCTACTTGATTATGGTTGAAAGAGTATCCATAAAGGTAATTTAGAGAAAATTGATAAATATGAAAAATGGCTCTTATATTTAGGACCAAAACCAACTCAAGAATTGGGTCCTATATTAAGGACCGGAGGAGTAAGATCTATTTAACTAATTTGATTAGATTAAGGAATTTAGGCAAATTAGTTAATTATAAACAATATGACATGTTTTTTTTTAAAACACCATAATCATCTTCCTTAATATCACATCTCTCTCTTCTACTTGATTATAGTTAAGGGAATATTCATAAGGATAATTTAGAAAAACTGATAAATATAAAAAATAGGTTTTATATTTAGGATCAAAATCAATTCAATAATTAGGTCTTATATTAAAAACCGAAAGAATATTACTTATCTATCCATTGTATATGCCGTTGGTGCATGACATTTCTGGTCTAGAATGATCTAAAGAAGTTTCAACACAAAAGTAAAACTCCGTATGCCCCATCTGTTCGTCAACTCTTACTAGGAAGATGTTATTTTGTTCCAACATATCAAATGTGCTGCCACCTAAAAAAAGTGAAAAAAATGACAACCGAAAACACCTTAATAGTATTATCATTAGAAGACTGAAAAAATATTCTATAAAATTAGAAGAACAACCTAAAACTTTAAATAAAATTGAAAGTCTTAATGTATAATTTTGCAGTTGCAGTCTTATTACATGTTACTGGGTTTCATATGTGATCAAGAATTGAGGATCAAAAATCATCCACAATCAGATTAATAAGTGACAAAAGATTTACACTTCTTAAGCAGCGTGCTAAATTTAAGCTTCATAAATGAAAAAAACGCATTGAAAGAGCTCTTTTGTTTGGGATAAGGGTCAAATGGAAAGCGCACACAAATTAATGCCACTAAATCCCAAACTAACTCATCAAACTCAGATTAACCAAGAGAACTTGATACTAAATGACTTATAAAGAAATGGAAGATCCTGAAGAGGATAGAATCTCCGCAAAATCTGGTGAGAAGGATGGGTTTTTTTTTTTTTTGAGGCACTGACATGGATAACGGACTTGATTGAAGCATTATTAACACCAACATAATCAGCCATCAAATTAGTTCTTTGCAAAATTACCTCATTTCAAAAGTATCCATGAGAATATGTGATCA